TTTACTAGTCTGCACTAACAGAAATGCCTAGCATGTGATGGGGTGTTATAATGCAACACCTCTTAAAGAAATGACCACACAGTCGGTACTTGCAGTCCACTAAAACAAAAATCTACCATTTCATTGAATGGGTTGCAGAAAAAGCCAACCAAAATAATGAACAGACTAGAGCAGCTCCCGTACAAGGAAAGACTAAACAGTTGAGATCTAAAATCAGGCATGTTTTTAAGTTAAGGACAGAAATGAGTTTGTTTTTTTTCCTTTTTATATGAGAACTCTAGGTCATGCACTGAAAATAGATGTGGAGAGACTCAGAACTGACAAAAGGATTATTTATTTATTTTACTTATTATTTATCAAAGCAATTTTATATGGCCGTCCAACTCACTCATGGTGACTCTGGGCGGCTTACAGAAATAAAACCCCAAATATAAACCCACTACACACCCAACCCCCTGGCAACAATACCTTCAAACAAACCACTAATTATTTATTAAAGCAATTTATATGCTTTACAAAATACATAGTTAAAGTCTGGACTTTGTTGCTTCCAGGTGTGGCAATGGTTATGAATTTAGATAAATCTAGAAGGGAACTACTTAAGTTTGTTGATGGTTACTAGTCTTGAAGGCTGCAAACTATGGAATCAAAGGGAATATTGCTTTAAATAGCTGAAAAAAGAATTGTTCTTTTTCCCTTTTGTACTTACCTGCTGCACCTCATTCAGAATGGAGTATGCACTCTGGATCTGCCTCTCGCTTAGCTTCCCTAAAGGCATCTTCTGGAGATCAATCTGACAAGAAGATAAATGATCCTATTAAAGCAGAACTTTATTATGGGAAAACATTAGAAGACTGGCTGCAAAAAAAGACTACAGTAGGAATAGCATGCTCCTCAGAAATAACACAACCTAGCTTTTATATGCAATAATTATCTGTATAAAACCCATTGAACATGGACAGAGCCTGAGGAAGCAGTAATATCATTACAAGATTTGTTCCTCCTTACTCATGTAGGGAGTGGCTTGTTTTGAGAGTACTACTACTGACAACTGAACACTATATAAAAAATTCTCAACTCAAATAATAGAAATACAAAGAGAGTGTGGGATGAAACTTTTTATTTTGGTACCTTTCAAGTCAGGCTGTGCATCTGTTTTGCTAGTCACTAACTTGATGATATTTTATTCAAGTTGATATTATACTGACAGCTACATTGAGAATCATATGGTGGAAAAAACTATTGTCTATCAATTTGTTTCAAATAATTTAGCTTAATATACCTCTTTAGACCTGCCCAATTAAATAAAGTTAAGTACTGTAAAAGTTAAAAAAAAAAAGACATAACTGGCCTATGCCCACCTATTTCCAGATTATGTCTTCATAGTATAGGAAACAGCTTAAAAAAGATATATTAAGACACAACTCCTTTCTTCTGCCAATGAAAGTCACTATGACATTCTTGAAAGATGGTAAAGAACTTTTAAGAATTCCTCTTCCCATCAAACTGCATTGCTGCCATTGTCGTTCTAAGAACATCAAACTAATAACATCAAAGAAATTAAGTCAAGTATGAATAGTAACCTCAAACTCCACCATGGCTTTCTTCATACTTTCCACATCAAAGATCATCTTAATAAGATCTTGGACAGCCTTAGGAAGCTTTGACTTGGTTCCTGCACTCACAGTCAGTTTCTTGACTGCTTCTTCATCCTGTTGGGAATGGGGGTGGGGGTGAGGGGAAGGAAGTTGTGTTAAAACAACATACATGCACAAATTAAGCTATTTTTTTGCTTATACTAATTTAACTAGAGACAGAAAATACATTAAATTCTTAGCTGATCTTCTCAAGTTGTTTTTATCCATGCCTGCTAGAATTTTCAGCAAATCTGAAAATTTTAAATCCACAGCTGCAAGAGAAAGAACAAATCGGGCACAAAGTTGTTTGTATCCTCCCCTCCCCCTGCAAAGAAACAGATTGATTTCTAACTTCAGAGATTCAGTACTTCAAAAATATCAGGTCTGATCATTCGGGATGAAGGTGGCTGGAAGATAATCCAGAACTAAACAGTCTGTATCATTCAAATGGATTTTGTCTAGTCGTCCATTATCTGGTCCTTAGCTGCTGTTTGAGAGGACCTAGTTCAAAGATAAACAACCTGTCATGCTCTTAGTTTTGGATGACTCCAAGCAACTCCAGCTAGCATGGCCAATAGCAAGGGATTGTAGGAATCATAACTTAAAAACTTTGAAGGACCCTAGTTGACAGAACATTTTTGCTTTTTAAAAAAGGGGATGAGGGTTAAAAGGTTTGTAGGCCAATTTTTTAAAATATTGCTGATACTGATCTTCAACAGACCCACATTGCAAGGCCACGGAAGGAGTCTGCATTACGAACAAACAATACATGAGACTGCCATGGATTTATTCCTCTTATCAAATGTAACAGAATCAACAAAATCACATGTTTTGGGGGGCAGATGGTGCCTATTTAAAGGTAAACTCATATGCAAGGATTGAGCTAGCAAGTGGTTACTATAGTCGGATCTCTGCCTGACACTGAAGCTTCTCCTGATTACAGGTAATGCTTAATGACCATAATTGGGACCGGAATTTAAGTCGTTAAGTGATACAGTCATTAAGTGAATCATCACATGACCGGACCTGATTTTATGACCTTTTTTGTGGTGGTGAAGCAAATCACCGCAGTGAATCATGCAGTTCCCCACTGATTTTGCTTGCCAGAAGCCAGCTGGGAAGGTCACAAATGGTGATCGCATGACCCCAGGATGCTGCAACTGTTGTAAGCACGAGCTGATTGTCAAGCATCCAGATTGCAATCATGTGACCGTGGGGGCGTGGCGACAGTTGTAACTTTGGGCACTGGTTTTAAGTCACTTTTTTTAGTGCTATTGTAACTTTGAATGGTTGCTAAACGGTCATTACGTGAGGACCACCCGTAGCACAAAGCATTTTCTGTTATGTGCAATCTTGACAAAGGAGTGTTTATCTTTTGGAAAAGGATCAAGTTACCTGCCCATAGTCTATTTCCAAAGGGTAGAATTTTTTGGGATATTTGGTGAAATTTTTGGAATGCCAGGAATTGCCTGTTTTCTCTTCATACAGATCCAGGAAATGTTCGATGGCTTCTTCTTTAGTAGGCATCACCTCCAGCTTGTTACTTCCAATTGCTGTGCCAACACGACCCCATGAGCGAAAAACCCAGTACCTAAAGACAAAAGTAAATGAAAGAAAAATATGAAATAATCTAGCAAGTTGTTCTGAAAGAGAATATATAAAGCCTAGCTCTTTGCAGGTACATATGCCATCTGCTTCAAACAAATACTTAACTATTTCCCTATTAGCCCTTTTATAGAATTTGATAATGAAAATACAAAACAGAAAAGAGAATGACTGTCAGTTCAATATTAGCAAACACTAGCATCCTCTGCTGCATTTGGTGGCAGTGGGCTTGCTTAGGAATCAAGGACATCTGGTAGAAAAGCCTTGCCTAAGTGGTCAAACTTAATCTACAAAGAAAAGATTTATATATACAGGGAACAGTCCCCCTCCCACCCCCCACAGTGAGCAGGCAAGACCCAATGTTTACAGACTGGGGACATTAAAAAATTTGGCATCATTTAAACACTAACTCAAGCTTACTTACAGTGGGGCAAAAAAGTATTTAGTCAGCCACCAATTGTGCAAGTTCTCCCACTTAAAAAGATGAGAGAGGCCTGTAATTTTCATCATAGGTATACCTCAACTATGAGAGACAAAATGGGGGGAAAAATCCAGAAAATCACATTGTCTGATTTTTAAAGAATTTATTTGCAAATCATGGTGGAAAATAAGTATTTGGTCACCTACAAACAAGCAAGATGTCTGGCTCTCACAGACCTAATAAATTCTTTAAAAATCAGACAATGTGATTTTCTGGATTTTTTCCCCCATTTTGTCTCTCATAGTTGAGGTATACCTATGATGAAAATTACAGGCCTCTCTCAATAAATTCTTTAAAAATCAGACAATGTGATTTTCTGGATTTTTTCCCCCATTTTGTCTCTCATAGTTGAGGTATACCTATGATGAAAATTACAGGCCTCTCTCAATAAATTCTTTAAAAATCAGACAATGTGATTTTCTGGATTTTTTCCCCCATTTTGTCTCTCATAGTTGAGGTATACCTATGATGAAAATTACAGGCCTCTCTCAATAAATTCTTTAAAAATCAGACAATGTGATTTTCTGGATTTTTTCCCCCATTTTGTCTCTCATAGTTGAGGTATACCTATGATGAAAATTACAGGCCTCTCTCAATAAATTCTTTAAAAATCAGACAATGTGATTTTCTGGATTTTTTCCCCCATTTTGTCTCTCATAGTTGAGGTATACCTATGATGAAAATTACAGGCCTCTCTCAATAAATTCTTTAAAAATCAGACAATGTGATTTTCTGGATTTTTTCCCCCATTTTGTCTCTCATAGTTGAGGTATACCTATGATGAAAATTACAGGCCTCTCTCAATAAATTCTTTAAAAATCAGACAATGTGATTTTCTGGATTTTTTCCCCCATTTTGTCTCTCATAGTTGAGGTATACCTATGATGAAAATTACAGGCCTCTCTCATCTTTTTAAGTTGGAGAACTTGCACAATTGGTGGCTGACTAAATACTTTTTTGCCCCACTGTATATTCAGTAGGCTGAGAATAATCAAATCAGTTTGAAAAAAAATACAGCTGGGCCATACATGTAACAAAATATCACCTTTAACAACAACAAAAAAAATGATTTGCAGGAGCACAATGTTAATAGTGACGCTACCCACTCTAATGCATCTGGAAATCCATATGCAATTGTGCCGAGATGGGAATAGCGTCCACTAGGTGAAAGTTTGTATGGCTAATTCATTCCCGCTGGGTCATGTTGCTGCAAAGCCTATCTGAGCTTGGTATGACTACAGCCATGATTGACAGGGGTAAATACAGCAGGAATAAACAGACATGGAGTGTCTGCTGTATTGGATCTCTTAAGGGTATTTTAAGCCATCAGCTACAATAACTAACTGTTGATGCTAGTCCTGAATAGGTGTCTTAACTCTAACTAAGCTGGCATTAAACCAGATAGTTAGATTAGAGTTGTCTACTTCTTTATAATTGAAACTTCTTTTACCAGACTACATCTGAAAATAGAGAATTTACCATCCTTTCCTTGTAATGGTCAGGATGATGTGGAGAGCATATGGTCCTTGACATGTCTTTCAGACTGCAGTCTGGCAAAGGATGTCATGGTTACAGAAAAATGGGCCCCTCTAGCCCAAAGTACCCACTTAATAGCAGGCTGTTAGCTAATAAGACACCCATCATCCAGAATTGGCAGCAACTGTTAACATTATCCTAGTTAATAACATCAAACACCACTGAGAGACCCAAGAGAGCAGGAAATCCCTTGTCTGCTTACTCAGAAATCCATCTGTTAATTCAAAGTGAGGCTTGCTCCTGTGTGTGTGTGAGCGTGCAAAAGATTGTGCCACTATTTGAATTACCTACAAAACTAATGACTTGTCATCTAAAAAATCCTCAGCTGACTGAATTAATCCACTGTAATAACTAAAAAGTTCCTTTGGGATGGTTGATTATGTCACGTGAAACTTGTCTTCTCCCTTGACTACTTTAAGTATATTTGCTTTTAACTATAAACCCATAATATTTATCCACCTACCCACAAAAAAATGGATAAACTTGGGAGAGGTTTTTTTTTAAGTAAAAGCATTTTTTTCAGACACAAACTCTGAACTTTTGATCATGCATAACAAAAGTGGATCTAAGTAAAAGGGAAATAACCTAAACTGCTGGAGAGAAAGAACATACGACACAGGAGATTTTTCTGTGATATGATGACATCTCAAAGCTAATAAAAATGAGATATTTTCTCCTTCTATTAACATATGTTTAAGTTGGCTGTGGTTTTCTTAGTTTTATTTCTTTTAAGGTGCATGCTTTTAACTTGTGGGGAGAGCTAACTTTGGAGTTTCATGTAGGGGATGAAAGGAAGACAAAATCAATAAATAAAGCAGTAATGATTTATTTAGCTTTCCTCTGCTTATTTAACATCTGCAGTTTGTGTAAACATGTCATGGATAAAACTAATTTATGTATTTGTGTTCTACTTCATGAAAAGCCACTATATAATTCATTAAGTTTTAAGACAAAACTAAGACTAAATAAAAAAACAAACACGACTAAGTTCAATTGAGGTCATTCCCAGAGAACTGCAACCTGAACATTGGTTTTATATAGGGGTCCAAATTGTTTCAGTTCTGGATTCTCATAGTACTTTTAGGAGCAAGAACTCACTATTTGAATCAAACAATTCTTATGAGAAACGAAAAACAGCACCAGTTATTATTACATGAACTAAGGAGAAATTTGCAACACAGTTCCTGTTTAGAAAAGGAGAAATCTGACCTGGTCTCTCGGTCATCCTCCAGCAGCTGAAGCTTGTAATAAGAATTTGTTCCTTGGACAATATCAACTAGACCTAAAGTGGCACTGAAGATTTTACCACTTTTTTCAAAGACGTGTGCAGAATCTTCCAGACCTGTTTACATATATAATGAAGATTAACTCTGGCTATTCAGAAACACATTCTGCCCTATTCAGATTATTATTAATCTGATCATAAGATTGGAAATGCTGGAGTTTTCTCATCCACCTTCTTTTCCCAGTACAAAGATGACTCAAAGGGGAACTGTAACTGCCTGTAATTGATTTATGGCAAATAATGTTGCTTCTTTCAGACTTCGACTGCTTGCCACTGCCCTGGGGAGATCAAAGGGATTGATCTGGGCAGGGGTGTGCAACTTACGCAGAAACCTGCTGTTGCAAGTCATGGCACGGGCTGCAAATTCATATGTAGAAAAGCCCAAACACAACATGAGTTAGGACATTTTTATTCTATATTTATTTATACTTATCATTTTAATATATATAAATCACTACAGGATTTACTTTCCCAAGCATTTATACTCAGGGAGTCCTGTCCTGAATGACTAATATACGAAACCCTTGTTTCAGCTCCTTGAGTGCCAACTTCCTTACTTTGCACTAGGAAACGTCACACAAGGGATACTACAGTGAAAAACCAGAGGTCTTACTTTCGTTATTTAACTCATCACAATGTACAGACATACTTACCTAGGATAAAGTGTGCTATCCACAGAGGCAGTGGCATTCATACCATTCATGTGTTAGAAGAGCTTTAGAAAAACAGGCCCAGTGAGTGAAAGCAAGAGTATGAGAACATTCCCTGGTGTGCAGAAGAAGCTTGCCTACTAATATGAGAAAAGGGAGGCCAACTATTTTTATAAAATCACCTGAATCAGGGTCCACAGCAGCCCCTCCTTTAACTGTCAGCTTCATTTTCTTCTCAGACTTACTTGTTCCTAAACAATGATGACAGGGGAAACAAGGCAGTAATTATTTTTCTATGGGTAGATAGAATTCATTCATCAATTTAAAAAGTATAATTAGGTGATTATAAAAATGCTCCTTACGCCTTTCTTTGTACCTGCAGCTTATGCTAGTTCTCATAGTTCTTTCATAGAGTAAGCCAAAATACTTCACTGGCAGCACTCCAAATTCTAAGAATTTCTAATGGTTCTACAACATGATAGCAATCTTATATAGGTTTACTTGGTAGCAGCTTCACTGAACTCAATAGGATTTGCTTTTGAGTGAGCAGGAACAGACTCAGTCTTTAATGCAAACTGATCATTTGCTGAAGCTTTTTTGCAAACTCTAAGGCAGTTTCTACATTTCTAATGACCTGCTATCCTGTTATTCAGGATTACAATAATGCCTTTTTAAGTTGCTAATCCAAATCAGATCCCCAAAACAGTAAAAAAAAAAAAAAAAAGAATAACTTCACTTATGTGTTTCCTTGTGATTTAAATCAATGTGATTTAAACTGACTTTATACTCTAAAATATACAAAAAACAAACCACGGTTAAACAAAGTTTATAGTAGACCTAGGTAACTTAAGACATGATGATGTGCTTGTTCCTTATGTACCTAATGGGGATGCTTTGAGTGTGTTATTGCTGAGGATTAACTATGCCACAGCCTTAAAGAATTCTCTCCTTCTTCAGTATGGTATGGACTGAGCCTTTAAAGTGACTGGCAGCAGCATTCACCCAAACTTTTAGTAAAAGCTGCCATTCTGTGCCTTTGGGGTCCATTCTAGGATTATTTTTAAGCTTTGTAAGGCTTTAATACTTTTTTAGAGGTTTTCTACCGAATGATTATCTTGGTTTTGTTTAAGTGTTTTTAACATTGTTTTGCTTTTTAAATGTATTGCACCCTGCTCTGGGAGTATTTTAACCAATGAAAAAGCAGGATAATATGTAGTAATAATAACAGTAACAATAACAATAATGATGCTCAATAAAATGTGTGAAGTTAGTTGTAATCCCTCCCAGGTCAGACTAGTTTACAACATTAGAACAGAATGCAGTGATTATAAAGCTTACAAATCAAAAGAAATACCATTTGTTTTTCATTTAATCCCTGTTAAATCCAATCATCTATCTTGTCCTCAAACATTCTTTTAGAGCAGTTTTTAGAACCTAGCCTTTAGAATCCAAATGGTTAGGTTACTGAAAATCTTCACTTGAGACAGAGAAGGCATACAACTCTTTTCTTGGATGTGTATGGTTTTGGCAATGGTACATTTATGTTTTCCTAACTGAGATCACAAAGAGAGAATTCTACAAAACTTAGGTCCCTCAGCCAAATACTATAAATCAGAACTCCAGACTTCTGTTTATAACTCAACAAGGATACGGCAATTATTTACAGGTAATCCTCAGCTAACGAAAGCAATTGGGACCGGAATTGCCATCACTAAGTGACATGCTCATGGCACATGATGTCACGTGACTGTGCCGCTTAGCAATGGCAATTCTGGCAGTCCTGGTTCCCATCATTAAGCAAGGACTGCACGGTTTAAGCTAGGACCTCACATGACTGTAACTTTTGACTTTCTGCCCGCTTCCCCATTGACTTTACTTGTGGGAAACTGACAGGGAAGGTCGCAAATTACTATCACTTGACTGCAGGGACAGACAGAACTCTGAGGATAGGCTGTTATTACCATTCATTCAGCACCATCATAAGTCTGAACAAGTGGTCAAACGAGGACCACCTGTATTTGGAAAGGATGGAAAAAGGGAGGATTCAGACATCTCCTTGGAATCTGGACATTGATTTCATTTTTTTTAGCATTTATATTATACTACCATGGCATAGGACAAGTTTTAAAAGTTCTTGGCAATACACAATCTTCCAATTGAAGACTTAGGTCAGCCTTCTCTACCCAGGAGGGATTTCCCTTGAACGATAGCTCTTTCCTTGCACTCATTTCTGCTGTTCTTTGAGGAAGTGGAAGGGTACATTATGATATGGGGGGAATTTACTTACCTAAACAATGGATGATTTCTTCCCTTTACTGATAAAAGCCACTTCTTGTGAGAAGTGCTTAACATCTCACTTACGTTCTTCAGAATTCAAATAAAAGCAAAAGGAAGAAATCTATACCTTTAATTGCAATATGAAGTAGAGTAGAGGAAGGCCATTCCTGTGGCCAATCACAGGTGGCGGCTTTTATAATGGTTTTACATATATATACATTTCAGTCTTATGGCCTCTATTTCAGGACAAATGAGGGCCATTGAGGACCCTCATTTTAAATGTTAACAAATGCTCTTAGTGAGAAAATAGCAACCTGAGGTGAAGATGACAGCCTATTTTGTCTTTTACCTTGCTCTTCCTTGTTCTTCCCGGCATTTTTCATGTTTGGGTGTCCAGTGGATTTTCCACTCGCAGACACTTCTTTACGTTCCTGTTTTACTTCTGCACCCCAGGGAGATACAGCATGAAGTGATCGGAGCTCCTGAAAACCCTTGCTGGAAGTTTTTATATCCTGGAGGAAGTCCTCCGACACCACACACAAATGGGCTTTCTTTATTTCTTCCATTTTTTTGTTCATTTTATCAACTTCCTCTGTAAGATTTACATTTGGGAGATGGGGGAGAGAGAAGAAATAGAAAAAGCAAGGCACAGTATGTTATCCTTTAGTTGAAGCAGTAGAACATACTGACTTGCAGGGTACAGAAACCTTTTACTGAGTGAGAAGAATTCAAGGACTCTGCTGGACCACACCAGCCCAATTTAATTCAGCACCGTGTTCCCAAGGCTTTAACACTGAGCAGGGACATCTGCTGGGATGTGTCAAAAAACCATAATGACAGCCATCACTGCACCATCAAAGACCTATCTCTTTTCTATATGCATCGCAACACATGTAAAAAAGGATAGGGCTTCATCTGCTCAGTTGCAGCCCCACCTTTACTTTTTTGATACAACACCCTCCCCTCATGCAGATGCCTCTGACACTGAGGTCAGTTAGCATGATCATACACTGTGCTAAAGTATCATCTCAGAACTTCTAATGTACTTAATGCTGTAATATCTCTAGAATTCTATTAAACCCTATGTTCTGATGGTAAACTCATTATGTATGTAGTCATAAGAATATCATCAATATTCTTCTTCATCATCATCATCATCATCATCATATCAAGTGTTTAGGCTTTGGGGAACAGATGTACAAGGAAAAATTCCTACTCAACCAAAATTGTCACGCACTGTGAATATAGAAGGCTACATTTAAAACTAGGTAAGAGAATAGACTAGAACGTCCTGGAAGAAGATATAGTTGGCTGGTAGCACACACATCCTGGGCACCTACAAAGTGCATAAGAAAGTACTTAACCACAATGGTTAAAAATAATAATAGCATTTATAGGGGCAAAAAGAATATGTTTGATTCAAAAATAAACATAAAAGGAAACTGAGGTATACTGTAGTTATATCAAATTTAAAGGAGTCATAATCAGGTTATATTTAACACACTGATGAATGGCTTCAATGCTCTGAGTTCCTTGCACTAGCTGCTTTATATAATACACTCCCTTCCCTCTTCTAGGCCTCCATTTAACGTAATGCTCTTGTCATTGAGAATGTCCCTGCTTTCTAATCATACCAATATCTACTCACTCTGTGAGCTGATGCACAGGTCAGCTTTATTCACAGCTGCTGTTACCTTTCCCCCAAGTTCTTCAACAGCAGATTTAATTTCATCCTTTGTCTTCGACAACTTTCCAAGGATTAAAATCTTCATGTTATTTAATGGTTTATCTGGCCAAATGAAAAC